TGAAAGGACATATCTGCCCTTGGTGTTTACATCATAACTGCTAACAAATAACAAACAATATAAAACTGAAACTAGAAATAACAGAACAGCAAAATAACCACAGCTGTGACTAGATACATTCTACCCTACGGACAGAGTGGGACCACAGCTGTGGGGCCCACATCACTGTTCTCTACAGTGACAACTTCTACAACCGTCAAATCTTCAAACACCTCTTGTTGTGAGGAGAAAGGCTGCACGCCGGCTGTTAAAGGAGACAAACTAGACAGGGTCAGCACAGGACTTGCATTGCTTACAATTGGTTAGTGGTAGAAGACAATTTCATAGAGGTACATATGATCTTTGATGAAAGAGAAAAAAGGAATGTTGATTTTTGTTTTTGTGTGCGTTTAGTGATGGTTGTGTTGGAAGAGGAGGAAGTGGGGAGGGGAGAGAGAGAGAGATCGAAAAGGTAGAGAAGTGGAGGCAAAGGGTTCTATTCGAGAAGAGGATGGAGGAGGGAGTTGTCTTGTGATTCCACTTATAAGGAGAAAGCTAGGAACCTGCTAATCCAACCCAAACCATGGAGGAGAGTTTAATTTCTATTGATCGAAAAGGTAATTGAGTTCCATCAGTTGACGGGCTCCCAGCCCACTCACCCCTTATTCGAGGCAATCAGGTTGGAGGCTCGTCAAGCACCAAAACTGGCCCAGATAAGGGCCCGTTATCAGCAGGACCCCACCTCAGTCCCAGGATACAGCATGATGGGCTCAGACCTCCTATATAAGGGACGGTACGTGCTACCTTCCTCCTCCCCTCACATTCCTGCTCTCTTGCAACTGTTTCATGACTCTCCTCAAGGGAGGCACTCTGGCGTTTTACGGACTTATAAACGGCTACCTTCACACTACTATTGGGCTGGTATGAGAAGAAGAATCCAACAATATGTGGATGCCTGTGTTGTTTGTCAGCAGCAAAAGTATGATTCTTAAGCACCTTCTGGACTGATGCAGCCTCTCAAAATACATGCCCAGGTATGGGAGGATATCTCAATGGACTTCATTACTGAGTTGCCCAAGTCCAACTGGTATTCCATCATAATGGTGGTTGTCGATCACCTGAGCAAGTATGCACACTTTTCAGCACTTCCGCACCCTTACACTGCTGCAATGGTTGCTGAAGTTTTCATCAGGGATGTTGCCAAGTTACATGGGACTCCCAAGTTAATTGTCTCGGATCGGGACCTAACCTTCCTTAGCCAGTTTTGGAAGGAGTACTTTCGACTCCAGGGAACTAAGCTATACCGGTCCACCAGCTATCACCCACAGTCCGGCGGCCAAACTGAAGTAGTAAACAGGTGTTTGGAGACATATTTGAGGTGTTCTACAGGGGATAGGCCGCGGCAATGGGCCAAATGGTTGCCTTGGGCTGAATACTGGTATAACTCTACCTATCAAGGGGGTACAGCCATGACCCCCTTCAGGGCCGTGTATGGAAGGGACCCTCCTGCCATCTTGCCATATGAACTAGGGTCCACTAAGGCCGCAGTAGAGACACAACTGATCAATCGAGATGAGATATTGCAAGAACTCAAGTTCAACCTGAACTGGGCCCAACAAAGGATGAAGTTCTACTACGATAAGAAGCATCGTGAGGTGGAGTATCAGGTTGGGGAATATGTTTACTTGAAGTCGCAACCCTACCGTCAAGTCTCAGTCACAAAGAGGGACTGGCCGAAATTTGGACCCCGTTATTTCGGTCCTTACAAGATCCTGGAGAAAATTGGTCCTGTTGCCTATAAGCTGGAGCTTCCCCCCTCTTCCTGCATTCACCCAGTCTTCCATGTGTCCCTACTCAAGAAGTGCACCAGCCCCCAGGCCATCATCAGCCCAACACTGCCCACATTCACTGATGACGGAAGCCTAGTTACTGAATCCAAGAGCATCATGGACTTCAGGTGGGTTAAAAAGGGGAAACGGGTCATCCAGGAGGCTCTAGTTGAGTGGGAGGGACTACCTACAACAGACGCCACTTGGGAACCTTACTGGGAGTTGCAAAACCAGTTCCCAGATCTGGACCTTGAGACCAAGGTCAATCTGAAGGGGGGAGGAGATGGTGAGAACACAGGAGCTGGCCCAAGCCCAGGCCGCTATGCTAATGGGCCTCGACCACCCATCACCATGGTGTATACAAGTAAGAGGAATCCCCGCCCAACACCTGAGCAGCTCTAAGCCACACTCGATGGAATCCCAACTAATTCCACTATCATAACCAACTGAGTTGGTTCTCTGCAATGTAACGGCCAGCTACTGCTTATATAAGCTGCGCCTTCTATCAATGAGAATAAGAAAGAATACTCGTTTTCTCCCCCCTCCCCCTCTCTCTCTCTCTCTCAGGAGGTCGGTTCCCCTCGAAGGAGCCCTGAGATAGGCAGTAACCTGTCAGTGTCGGAGAACAGTACTTTTCTGCAAGTTGAAGGCTTAAAACCATAATGGAAAGGCTAAGAAAGACATGGATTCAAGTGGTAATAAGAGATTCAAGAGGTCATTCTTTATTTGACATTAAATAAAGCAGAAAAAGGACTTCCACATATATTAGATGAAGGAGGTCAATAACATGTATGCATACATACATAGGTGCATGTACATGTGTGAGTAGAGACGCAAACTTCATTTAATTTTTCAAAATGAAACTAATTAATACAGTTTAGATTTACAAATTATGCATACATGTTATTGGAGAATGTCAAATTGTAAATTAATATTTAGATTTACAAATACTTAATTTCATGTTTTTTTTCTGGGTATCCCTCATCCCCTTTCTTGCATATCTCATTAAACCATATTAATACAGTTTTGGAAATGAACGATAAATATGTTTTAAAATTTTTTTGTGTTTTCTCAAGGATTTTTGGTCTTACATCAGATACATTGGAAGCTCAATTGTTCCAAAAAAAAAAAAATCCTCAAAGATTTAGTTTCATTCCATAGACTTGATTCCTAAAGAAATTGTCTTTTCCTATTTTGAAATACAAGTAAGACATATCAGCAAAAACTGTATACTGTATGTCTTTTAGGCAAAAACTTCAGCAATTACTTTCACATAACTGATATATCTGCAAGATATTTTGACAACATGAAACATGAATGAAGTTGTAACAAAAGAATAGTAACAGAAAACTCACATTCTCCACGATGATCCTTAACCATGAAAGGTTCTGTCTTGGCTTCTCTCACTCTAACTCTATCATAGTTATTATCAACAACTCTAGCCCCTAACCTGAACTTACGGCTCCTCGTCCAGCTTGAATTATCTGTAAAAACTAGATCACTTACAATGCCGGTACCCTGATAAAGATTTAGAAAAGCCTCTCCCATAAGAAGTGGTTTCTTGCCTTCCCTTTCCTGAACAATGTTATTGTTAAATTCTTCAACCGTCCAGTTGTCTTCTTCATCACCTTCAAAATCTCCCTCTAGAACTACTATTTCCACCTTGGACAAAGATTCAGGACCTGAGTCAACAACCTGCCCTGTCAAGCCATCAACTAGAACTACCTTTACCGGAGAACATTCATCTCCTTCAATTCTTGTGCCAGTAAAAACTGGAAGAGAAAGCTTGGTTATAAATTGTAGCTGTAAGCTTCTTGTCATAGAGGGGTTTACCTGTTTGTCGCAATTTCTGAAGAAGAAATACAAAGATCATCACTAACCATTCAATTATTATCTTGATGAGGGAAGCTTACTGAGTAGAAAGTAAGCACTATTCACCAAGTAAAAATTAGCTCTTACTGTTTAGTGGTGGCTAGATGCCTCTTAAATGCCACGTCAACTTCTTCTTTTACCTGAAAGCACAGATAGAACATCAACAAACTATTCCTGCAGCATTTTTGACAACTTCATAGATGTAATCAAGGCATAGCAGACAATATTTTAATGAAACCATAAACAATTATTATTATCCTCATTAGTAATAGGAGGTCATTTTTTAAATATAATTTTCTTAGTGTGCATCCAATACAATGTAACTTAAACAATAACAGGACACCAAAATCATAATGGCACAAAAAGGAAGAAAACTATAGAACTCAACGAAAGAAGCTTTGGTAATGATTCTCAGACAGTAATTGAATGGGAAAACAAAAAAGTAGGATAAAAATACAGAGAAGAATGGAGGACATGGATAGAGTCTGTTTCACTACTCTAATTCCAGCCTTTTAATAGAGTCCATTAACCTAGAGGATGTGGGACACTTATCAAGCAAAACACATGGTTGAAAAGAATTAAAAGACACAGTCAATCCTTCTATTAATTTTGTAAAGTGAGAGCAGATGGCTATTTATCGCAGCATTGCTTAACCTTGCAAATCAGATTGTCCATGCCCACAGTTACAAGCTTTCAAAATCTTTATAGCTCCTTTACAACTCAGACAAAAAAGGGAGAAAATAAAAAGTAACCTCTTTTTATTGGAACTGATAACTTCATTCAAAATTAAAGACTAAAGTACAACTATCACACACCCAAAAGGTGTTGACCCTTTACATGAGATAAATTACAGCAAAGCACAAAAAAAATCTCTTCCCTAGTAACCCCTTGTTTAGCTAAGGTGTCAGCCAACCCGTTTGTTTTCCTTCTAATCCATCTAAAGGATACACCAATCTCCCATGACAAACACCTTATTCCCCTCAATCTGTTTAACAAATCCCTAGATCATTTGCTTGCATCCAACCTATTACCAGCTTGGAATCCCCTTCCACTTCAATCTGTTGAAGTCCTAACTGTTTAGCCAACCTCAAGCCATGGAGTAGGGTCATCACTTTAGCTCTTAAAGAATCTCCCACCCCTATTGATCCTGAGTAGAGAGTCAACACTCTTACTTCTCCATCCCTTAGATCCCCCTTATGCCTGATGGACCCAGATTACCAATTGAACTTCCATCAAATTTCAATTTAATCTTTTGCTGTGTTAATGGGGCCTAATCTTCCAGAACCACAGACCTTGAAGTAGGAGAACAAACCACAACATTCCAACCTCTAGGTATATCAGCCATTGAAAGTTCCTTGAACAAGTCTAAAGTCTTCAACCAATGTGCTACCTTCATAGAAATGCTATCAATTAAATCTTCCTTAGTGTTGTCTAGCCCCTGAAAAATTTTGTTATTCCTTTCCTCCCACACCGACCAAAGTATAGCTGCTCTTGTGGCTCTCCACATTATCCTTCTCCTATTCTTCAGCCGTCTAAAGAAGCTTGCATCAAAAAGGCCTGCCACATTAGAGGGAGGGTTCCACCTACAACCAAAGAGACAAGAAAACCATTCCCAAATAAAAGAAGCAAAAGGGTAGGATATTAGTAGGTGTGAAACTGTATCGCCACTACCACATCAAAGGATACACATATAAAGGGAAAGGCACCAAAAGGGCCTCCAACATTGAAGCATATCATAAGTGTTGATCTTCTTAAGAACTATCTTGTTAAGTGCCTTGGGAGAACTCACCCCTAAAAGCTAGCTGTTAGAGGGAGGGAACCCAAGCACATATATACCCACAACAGAATCCCATACTACAGATGTGGGATACCTTACATTAGCATCCCATACTACCAATGTGGGAATAAATGGATCGTGACATTCCACCACGCTCCGCAATCCCAATGTCCACGCAGGCTGGCTTTACACTAGTCCACCTAGTCTTGGCCAAACACTACAATACTGATGTCACCACCTTCGCCGCACGATTGCAACTGGGAGGCACATGATACGATCCATTTGTCCCACGGTGGTATGGGATGCTAATGTGAGGTATCCCACATCGGTAGTATGGGATGCTATTGTGGCCCTTGTGGGGTATATATGTGCTTGGGTTCCCTCCCTCTAACAGCTAGCTTTTAGGGGTGAGTTCTCAAGGCACATAACAAATGGTATCAAAGCCTACACTATGCCTCCCAATTGCAATCGTGCGGCGTTGGTGGTGACATCGGTATTGCAGTGTTCGGTTGGGACTAGGTGGACTAATGCAAAGCCAGCTTGCGTGGGTGTCGGGATTGCAGAACATGGTGGAATGTTACGATCCATTTGTCCAACGTTGGTAATATGGGATGCTAATGTGAGGTATCCCACATCGGTAGTATGGGATGCTGTTGTGGGGTATATATGTGCTTGAGTTCCCTCCCTCTAACAGCTAGCTTTTAGGGGTGAGTTCTCCCATGGCACATAACATACCTCCCAACAGAATAACCTTTGGGGGTACAGGGTTACACCAAACTTCTTTTGTTGGAAAAAGACCCTGTGAGGTTTGTGGAGTGGAGGACACTAAGAAAGAGAAACAAGAGAAAACCTGAAGGGGAATCTGACCAAACTCTACCATCCAAGCAAGAAAGATCCAAGAACACTGTACTCGAGAGATGGGATCTCATCAACAACCTCCATTTCAGAGTCCCTAAGTCCTCTCCTTAGCCCTAGATCTGAAAAGTTTCCAATACCATGGACAAAGGATACGGTTTTGAATTTATTCAAAGAAAGAGCATCAATAGAAGGGAATCTATCCTTAAGAGAGAGGACTCCCCAATACAAAAGCTAGCCTTCATCAACAAGACAGTCATAAATATTATAATTTTCTCAACTATATGGTCATTCCCACAAGCTATTTACTACTTTCAATGGGAAGACATCACACCAATGAGATTCAATGTAGACTCCAAGCCTCCATGATAGCTAGCATACTTCGTTACAGATGTCCCAAGTAATTTTATAGGGTTGAGAATGAGCCTTTGTAAATTTAGTATATTGATGATGTACCATTGAAATAACTACCATTATCAATAACTAAATCACATATATTTTGGCTGCATCATACTCTTTAAAGAAAAACAATGTTTCAAGACTTGGACCAAACACAAAACCTGAAAGCGTGCCAGGTCAAATAGTTTGACCGCAAGTTGCAAAAAATACAAAAAAAAAATAGATTTTGTATATAATTTGATGTTGCACGATCTGGGCACTCCTAGCTAGCTGAAACTTGGCTCCTAGCTGTGATAGACGGCACCTGAGATGAAGAGGAACGTGAAGGGTTCCCGGGGAGCTATCCCGGCGGGAACACTCCGATGGCTAAGTTAGAACTCTGAGGAAAACTCAAGGAAAACACAGAGAGTTAAAAGTGTTGAAAGTGCTAGCTTCAATACCTTTGCTTTGTGAGGGTCGGGGTCCTCTTATACCGGAGCTCAGTCACATTAGGCATAACCGCCATTGCCCTAGCCATTACTGCCAGGGATGAGGTGGTAGGTGCAGGCTGCTGCTGCTGCAGGGTACGGACTCGTTAGGCGTGCCATGCTTTTCAGAGATAGCAGGCGCGGCACTGCCTGGCAAGAGATGTGCGCACTGCCACCAGATCCGGCAGGTACGGATGTCAGGCGGATCTTCCCTGCAGGCTGCTGAACTACTTTGCACCGAACCGCCTGGGGCTGGGTTGCCTTGCACCGAGGTGCCGAGGTGCTCGCACTGGAGGCGAGCCTTAAGCAAGTACGAACAGGGGCCTCGACGGTGCTGTCCCAAGGTGTTTCTCCCTCGGGACACTTAGCCAAAAGCTGGGGTGCTCCCTTCTTAGGGAGGGAGAGTTCGGAGCCCCTTAGGAGGAGCTCGGGTCTCAAGGGGTGCTCGGGTCCCTTTGCACGGAGGGAGCTCGGGGCACTCCACCCTAAGGCTTGGGGCGAGCTGGGCCTTGCTTATCGGCGAGTTGTCAAACCCGCCGAGTCGTTTGGTTGGGCCTCGGCGAGCTTGTTATGCCGAGTTGTGACCAAGCTACCGCATTGAGTTGTCACTTATGCCAGGTCATGTCCACGTGATCACCCTACATTAATTCAATTGTAAGCCTCTATGGGCTCCAGATTTGGCTAAGCTGTCTGCTACAGTATTTAGTTCCCTAGGAATGCAAACCAACTTCACACTAGAGAATCCAAAATATCTCTAGCTCCAGTCAGCAGATGAGCAAGCCTCCAAGGTCCTCCACTCTTCTGCCTTAGCCATTTTATCATATTAGCTGAATCACCTTTGATGGATATAGAGGAAAGGCCTAACATTTTGACATAACGGAGACCTGTGAGGGCAGCTAAGATCTTTGCCTTGGTAGTGTCATCTCTCCCAATTGGCCCATTGGAAGCCCAAAAGATGTTCCCCCCTGTCCCATGGATTACTCGAATTCCTGCTTGACATGTGGATCCTTGAGCACTACCATCAAAGCTTAGAGTTATCAGATTCTCCTCCCTAGAACGAATTGCTTGAGTAAAACCATTTCCAAGACATGAGTAGAGGACTTCTGCTAAATTACTCTAAAGGTGATGCAAAACGGAAACGAAACACATAAGAAAAGCTTCAAAGTAAAGAGCAGAAGTCAAATTTTAGGAAGAAGAAATCTTCACTAAACAATTAAGAGAAAATTGATAACAAGAGAACTGCCTTAGCCTTCCCCTAGCTACTCTTTATATAGGCATACACCCTTATGTCTCCTAACCCTAATCTGAAAACACTCCATAATAGAATCCTACTAAAACTCCTTAAAAAATAAAATCCTAATCTAAGAAAACACTCCAAAATAGAATCCTACTAAAATTCTTCAAAAGGAAAGTCCTAATTGAATATAAATTCGAAATAATGCTATCTTGGTAAAAACAAACTAAGATGAAAACTCTAAGATGGCGCCAACTTGGTAAAAACGTACTAAGATAGAATTCCTATGATGATGTTATATCGGTAAATATTTACTAAGATGAGCCGATGGCGTCATTTCTGCTTCTTATATGTCTTGAAATGGTCCCAACTTGCATAGAACTTATCGGCCTTCTCTTGTACTGCATCAGAAGGTCATATAGGGAAATACCTTCAAAAACTTCAGAATTAATAACCTAAATGTTGCATAGGAAGGTAATATGAGAGATCAGGTTTTCAATATTCCTGGTTTTGCTTTCAAAAGTTCTGTTGTTCCTTTCTTCCCAGACACCCCACATCACTGCATGGATCACACCGTACTCCAATAGATCTTACCCCTACTTCCAAGATTTGCCCGTGTAATTTTGTTTCTGCCTTCTAAGGCCCTTGTACTTCATTAGCTTTTCTCAGTTAACTTTTAATAAAATCCCAATTAACCTTTCTCAAAAATAATTCAATTGTAAGTGGTGGCAAGACGGTAAAAGATCATTTCTTAACATAAATTAACAGGGTTCAAGTCTTGGTACTAGTGTTTTATTGAAAAAACTTATGTATTTATACAATATATATATAGACAAAAATTCAAAAGATGAATGATAGCTTGATGGTTTTGTACTTATAGGTATAACCATATAAGTTTGAGGTCTTAGGTTCAAGTCTTCCCATATGCATTTTTGAGGTTTATATGGATTTAGTGACCTGGGTAGATCGTGAAAACTGGTTGGATCATTGAAACCTAACTGGTTTAATGGTTCCACCAGGTTTTGACCGGTTCTTCCAATTTCTCAAAAATATAAAAAACGGGTTTAAAAAAACAAAATGCCTTCCAGTTCCCATATTGAATGGCCCAACTATCTGGTCCAATCCGAGTCTTAAAACATTGATGAAAAGTTTAACACACATTCCATCCTCTTCTTTTCCTTTAGGTATATGCTGAACATGTTTTAGGAATGCAAGATGATTTTCAACTTGAAAGGATCAACCACGTATTTGAAGGCATGGCGATAAACCTAAAGTGCTAACATTTTTTTGAAGAATAAAGAGAAATTTTCATTGAAAAGAAAAAGAATACAAAAGAAAGGTGATAAGATATCACCCAAGAGAGGGACACAACTACTAAAACCAACATATAGACCTCAAGAACCCCAAACAAATTAAACATTCAACAAGACTCAACAAACAGAAACACAACAAACCAAACTAATGCAAAAACCATAAATAAATAAATAAATATATATATAAACAACAGCCCCCAAATCCTGGAGCACCCCCAACTTGACACCTGACCAAAGACGCACCCAACTTGCAAAATTAGGCGCCTCAATCTTCTTCCACGAACTCATCCCCCTGGTCTGTATCCTCTCCTCATTCCGTACCTCGCCTCTTTTCCTAGAGATTTCTTTATTCAACTTTTCTTCCCTCCTCCTTTCAAACTCCTTAAAGGCCCTCTTAACAAACTCCTCACCACCCCAAAAAACCAGACCAAGACTTTTACCAACCGTGACTTCTCTTACAACTAGTTTTTGAAGAGGCACACATCCTCAAACCTCGTTCTTTTCTTCATTACTTCGCAAAATCACCTTTGCATCAGATTCAAGACTGTCAATACTCACCTTGTTGTCTTGTTGCTCCTTCCCTGAGAGGGGGTCCGAAGGCTAAACTTGCTTCGTCATCCCCTTATGAATATTGTTAACATTGTTCACAGTATCAGAAATATTTGATAGAAATCCCCGAAATATCTCCATTTTGCTAGGTGGTGATACGAAATTTTTCAAAAATATTTTTTTCCAAATATCTCTAATATTTTGTCGATATATCTGTGATATTCTGAATTTCATTGATAAACTATATATTTATGGTTTAAATGTTAGAATATTGTTAAAAAAAAACCTGTTGATGTTTCATTAAAATCATTACAACTTTTTGAAAATATTTTCCCAAAAGATCCAATGGGGAATTGGTGATTGGACAATTGGCTTATTATTTTGATATGATTCACTTACTAACTCACTTATAATTCAAAAGAAAAAGAAAATTGCATATAACTACAAAAGAGTATTTCAATCTAATCAAAACATATAGTTAATAAAATGACAAAAGTCAAAATGGAAAGTAAGTGACATATTTAATGAAGAGAAGATGGATGGCTAAAAGACTAAAAGAGAGACAAAGAGAAAGATACCTATTAAAGTCTCTTAATTTTCTCCTTTTGATTTATATAGTTCTTTGCTATGGTTTTTTGAGCCTTAAATGTGCAAAAATAGTTCTAACAATTCCTTGAAGATTTATGAACTAATTCCATGTTTCTAGAAAACTCTCCCGATTTTTTAGATTTTCCAAATATCTTAGTGAAATATCTCTAGAATTTCTCTAATGTCCATCTATACTGAAATTGTAAAACTGTGAGTGCTAATACTCCTAAGGTTCAATCTGATGCCAAATTGAAGCGAGACGAGTAGGGAGGTGTCCTATGTATCAGCTATGGCAGGCAACAAAGAAGGTTCAGATCTGAAAAGGTAGAAGCAAGAAGGGCTTTTGATCCTGGGTGAAAGAGAGGGGATCAATAGACTTGTTGAGAGGGGTTTCAACTCAACTCAAATTCATTATCCAACTCTAAAAATTCCAATTATAATGACATTACATATAAACTCAATATGAGCTCAGATCTCCCTTCATAGACTCTGTTGTTGGGGCCATTTGATAATGGCTGAAGTGGCTGAACTAAATGACCTATTGTTTTAAGTGGTTAACATATTTAAACAATAACATATTCAAGGGTATGCATTAGGTAACTAGCAACTGCCTAACTAAAAGACACTTCGAGTTGTCTAGACTCCTGATGAGAGAGAGAGAGTTATGGTATTCTTTTCCTGTCCTTGATGTATGTAATAGTATGCCTTATATAGGCTTACAACAAAATCACTGTTCTGCTACAACTGATTACGACAAATCTTGGTTGTTACAACTGACTTCTCTTGGCTGCTGCATTTGTTTATGTCCACACTGACTTCTCTTGGGTCTGTTGCTCCTGTGGTTATTCCCATGGGTCTAACAGTATAGTAATCAACCTAAATTCAGCTTCAGCCATTAAGAAGCTCACAACCTCCTTAAAAGCTTATTCACTAAAAGACAAATCTCAGCATTTCATCGGTTATCAAATGGCCCCTTAGACTCAAATAATTGATCAAACACAACTACTAGATTCTTTGAAACTAAGAAAAATCCAAAGTAACACATAATGACACTCAAATATTAACTCTAACTCCTAAAAGAAAAGATATTACATCTGTGAGATTCCTAAACAGATGTAATATTAACTCAAATAATATTTGAGTAAATATTAACTCTAACTCTAACTCCTAAAAGAATTCTAAATACTCATTACTATACCAAATAAGCCAAAAACAATTCCAAGAAAAACTAGAAATTTAAAAGGATTTAAATCCCATCAATTTTTTGTTAGTCAAGGCTAAAGTTGTATAAGTTGAAAAAAAAAGATATTACATCCGTGAGATTCCTAAACAGACACCAAACATAAACGGAATATACAATATGCTGCAACCTTCTAGTTTAAGTAAACAAAATTGCAAAAGAGTCAAGGACTGACAATCTCTTCCCATTGCCTTCTGATGTCAGTTCCCCTTTAAGCCTTTGAACTCTTTCATGACAATTTCCAAATCTAATCAATTACTAACATGCTACTAGTTAAATGATCAAAACTCTCTCAGAACATGTCAAATCAACAAGATCTTGGTCTTGTTGGATAGATGATGGAAAACCTATTGAATAAAAAAAATAGAGAAATAACAAAAATAAAATCAATTATGAAGTAATTGCCTTTTGATTTGATAATGAAAAAAGTAACCCCAAATTAGAACTCTGAATAACACTCTAGCAGCAAATGCATGAAGCAGCTGTAGCAAAAAAATAGCTAATACCAGACCTTGGAGATAATGAGACGAGCAACACAAGAATCAGATATGCATCATTCCTAGAAGAATCACCGCTGAGGTTTTGGTAGCATTTTGGACAAAAAGAAATGTAATAGAAAAGTTTAAATCTTCATTCACTATCTCCAAACTAGAATATAACAACTATTTGTAATGTTGCTAACTTAAATTTTAAGCCAAATTATTTGAGAGTGATTCACTCACAACTCTACGGATTAAGGGCTCCAAAGTAGAAATGAATCTCTGAATGGCTTGCGTCTTCATTACTTCCAATATCACACTAACCTCATAATAAAATATCAAACACAAAAAAAAAGCAGTATTAGCATATTTCAATACATAAACCAGACTGGAAAGCAACAAACAAAATGAGAGCCAAAGTAAGAACCAAAGCCCAAATGCCTTGAAAACAAGAAGCAAATTGACAGATGATGCCTAATTAGTTTCATATTATTTTTCATTTTTCCTTTTCTTTTGCTAATGGAAGATGATCAAAACATTATATGGTTCTTATTTACTTATATACAGCATCCAAAGCATCCCTTTTTCACCACATCATTATAACTAGAACAAAGATCTATCTTCCTAAATTGCTTATCAAAACAAGCAAAAAAAAAAAAAAAAGAAAAAGAAAAAGAAAAGAAAAGCAAAAGGAAAGAGGTACGGCAGATGACTTATCTCTAACCGTTGTTCCCTGCAATTATGATTCAATTTTAACCGGCAGTTCCTTCAGACAATGGCCAGAACTTAACCAAACTAATATCCATTTTCACTAAAACAAGCAAAGTCCTAACCCATCTTTTATTTCTTCTTTTTTCACGATAATAAGGAAATCCATTTCATTTCTTATGATCGAAAACATAAATACCGATAAAAAGCATAACCACTAAATTTGTGATAATAAAAAGCACAATCATATCATTTCTTCTTCTATTTTCACAATATGAAGCAAACCAGTTCATATTTCTTGATTACAATTACAAGTACAACCCACTAAAATCTTCAATTGCCTGAGCATACCCAATTTATTATAATATGGAATTTCAGTTACTAGTATTAGTAATAAAGAAGAAAAGAGGGAGATATTGCAATTCTCTCACTTTCTCAGGGCGGGAACCTTTGGACGCTTCTCCTCGGGGCTGCTGCCTGCCGATCCAATCTTTCCATCTTCAGGTTGCCGCTTATGCGACATACTCGAAGTTTGGAAGAAAAGCAACTAACAGCTGATGATCATCAACTACGAAGAAGAAGAAGAAGAAGTAGAAGAAGATAGGGCTACTAATAAAAGATTAAATACAGCAGCAGAAGCGGGCGATAAAAGATAGGAATGACAATAAATAAGAAAGGCAAAAAGCTTTACAAGTAGATAAGTGCCAAAACCTGGATATTTATCCATGACCATGACACAGTTTGGCTCTTAGTCTTAAAGTATCCAAGATGAATTGTCAAATTCAGAGAGAGAGAGAGAGAGAGAGAGAGAGAGAGGGACGTTATAGAGGTAAACTTCTCAAAGCGCGTAATGTAAGCAGGAGATGTTACATCGACACGCATTCGGTCACATAGGCAGTTAGTATATATATATACATATATAGGTAACCCACGCGATGCATCAATTTTGTTAAGTCAAAGTTAAATAATAGAAATATATAAAATTATATAATTATTAATTTTTTAATAAAATTAATTTAATAGAACTTTATTCGAGTTGGTTGGTTTTCTAATATTTTTTATCAGTTTTGATTTAGCAATTTTTCAACCCAATTAAGTTAGGTGAATTTTGGTTTGACCATTTGTAAAACAATCAAAACTAAGTCGACGCGACTATAGATATATTAATATTTTATATTTTAAATATGATTTTTTAATATGGAAAAGTGAGAAAGTTCTCATATTTCTAAGTCTAAAACATTTTATATCATAAATTTAATTTCTTTTTAATTTATTTTTTAATAATACTATTGTAATTTATTAAATTTAAATTCAATTTTTAAGCTTAAATCTTTTAAACAAACAAACCAAACTGAAAATAAACCCAAATCAATACAACCTGAGCTGACGGGTTTTTACTAATGGTTAGTCAGCTTTGGATGACAAACTCCCGGCCTGACCAAATCGATTTGGTAGGCAAAACAGCCTACAAAACCGAACTGAACCAATCCTTGAACACTCCTAATTTTAGCTAAATTAATAGTTTGATCTCCAATAATTATTGAAAAATTATAGCAAAAATACACAATTATTGAAAATAAATTTATAGTCAAAATACAATAAATACTGAAAATATATTAAATTAGTCAATAAATAGTGTAATCTCAAATAATAGTTTAATCTCTAATAAATATTAATCAATAAATTATAAAAAATACAAAATTACTAAAAGTAAATTTATAACAAAAATACAATAAATTAAATTTCAAAAGTTACATAATAGTTGTTTAATCTTCAATAATTATTAAGAGTTTTCTATTAAGTAGCAAAACAAAAATAGATTTATAAATAATTATTGAAAATATATTTATCAGAAAAATATAATAAACAATTACTGAAAATACAATAAATATTAATTTTAGTACATATAAATATATAATGAATATACACTATTATCGTAAAATTATTACTAAAAAATATTACTTTTTTTGAAAGTTATTTTTTATAATTATTAATTGATATAATAGAAATTAGTTATTTACAATATTATTTAGTTATTTAAATAATATTATTTTTTAAAATTTTAAAATATTAATTATTTATTGAATTTAATAAACTATAAAACTATATTTAGTACTATTAGTACACAATTCGTTATTAATTTTGTAAAATATTAAATTATTATTAATATAAATATTATGAAATCTACTATAATTATTTTTCTACTTTTAAGAATTATTTTAAATTTATTACATGATTTAATTATTTTAAATATTTGAAATTCAGTCATGTTAAATATTTAAATAATATGTAAAACATTTAAAAATTTTTATTATATGAACTTTTTGTTTTAAAGTTATTACGTAATATAAAATATTTTGTTATATAATTATTTATCTATTTTTAATGTTTTGTTATTTAAGATATTTTTTATTGAAATATTTAAATAATATTTGATTTTTTAATGTTAAATTTTTATTATTTGAATAACATTTAAATTGAATAATTTGTAAATTTATAATTTATATTGTTACTACATAATTTCATGATGGATTTTGTAAAAATATAGAATTATTAATAATATGAATATTATTAAATCTATTATAAATATTTTTTTTGTTTTGAATAAATATTTTAAAGTTAGTATTATAATTCATTATAATATTTAAATATTTCTGAAATTTTTTAATTGACACTTTCTTTGGATAGATATAGATAAAAAGTGGGGGAGAGGATAAATAGGAATTAGAGATAGTTTATGATAGAATCTATCTATTAAATTATATATAATTTAAGAGATGAATAGGAGTTTGAGATAATTTATGAGAGAAATAGGAATTAGAGACAATTTAGGAAAAAGTGGTGCCACTTGGCTAAACATTAGAAAAGCAAATCTCTCATTCTTTGTAGTTGTTATAAATAGTTAAGCCAAATGTTATTTCCTTATTGGTTTAATTGGTAATTATGTGGAATTAAAAAAATAAAAAATTCAAAAAAAAAACTGGAAATTATGAAAGGGAAAAAAACTAGATGGTATATACACCAATAGTCAAAATGATCATAATGCCCGTTGGCCTTCCAATCATTCAATTTAAACCATCTAGCTTCATCACCCTTATTTTTTTTATATCATCTAAAACTCATCATAACTTTTTCACATTTCTCTTTAACATTATCATGACTTTTCAAATTCTCTACATAGTGCCATGTCTGACATGATTAGGCCCACTCTAGACTTGCAAAATTTAGAGTCATTGGGGCTAATATTTCAAGCCAGCCTATGACTGACGCAGCCCACATATCTTTAAAATATATGCATAACTATTATATGAGCAATCAGGGGTAGTATTATAATAAAATTTGTAATAAGGTTTACTAGTCATTTTAGGGGAGACCAAATCAGCCGGCCACAAAATTGCCCCCCACAACATCCTACAGCACATACCTGCTGTGCATTGGGAATATCTCCTGATGATAATATCAGATATGAAGATATCATAGGGAGATATTCCCAATACACAGTGGGGATGTGCTGTGGGACATTGTGGGGGGTTGATTTGAATTCATTTTAGGAGTAGTTTAGTCGTGTAAAATATTTAAATGTTTATGTGAACAACTTCTATTAATGCTCATTAACAGTGACCTAATGGAAGGTAAATTTTGGATAATAAAACTCATTGACATGGGGCTATATAGAGGTTTTGGAAAGCCATTGTCAGTTTAAGAGAAATGTTAAAAATTCATGGTGAGTTTTAGATAATATCCCTTATTTCTTCTCGGTGAAGTTGACATATAGACAATCATTGGTTGATAGGTTGGAACTGATTCAACTTTGAAACTTGAAGCCAAACCTGCCAAGCCCGCTAAGCCCGGCCCGATCTTCTGAAAGGAAATAAAAAAATCTATGAACACAACATTGAATATTTTAATGCATGCTAAATTATTGGAGATGTTCTCAATGGGCAGAAGGATGTGCATGAGTGTTCATTCGGTCGGTTCAATTAGAACCTAATCAATTTTTCAGTTTAGCCATTCTCCTAAACCAAATTGATCTCTTTGATCGGGAATATTAATAAATCCATTATTAGGAGGAATCTGAAAAAATCTACCAAGTGGACTAAGGTATTATATATATACCAATAAATAATATAAATAATACACTAATAAATAAACAATATTAATAATGTTTACATTTTATTTGGCCCCGTATGATGCACGAATGTTGTTAACAGAAACTGTGGCAGGAGCCTAATGAGAACATCAAATGGATCAAGTACTATTAATTTCAACGTAAACTATTATTTATTTTATTTATTTAATATTTTTATTATATTTTATTAATTCTATTTATCTTAAATGCACACAAGCTTTGTTAAATGAAATTTAAATAGGAGTTTTATGACATTTCTAATCAGGCCAAGCTGAACGTTAACCCTATCCATCTAAGCATTAGTCGTAGGTTATGCATTGTCTAATAAATTAAAGAAAACAAAAATCTATAAGGAATTAGGGTGGGGGAGAGTTACTTTTTGATTAAATTAAAATAAAGAATAAATTTTATTGATTTTAGTTCAACCATGTTTATTCGTTTTTATCAAATTTAACTAGTAAAATATTTTTTCTAAGTCTATTAACAATTTGTTATTGCTTTAATTATGTTAATTTTTGTTAATTATTTAAATTTTAATTTGTTAAATTTATAAATTAATTTTACTAATTTTAGAGTAATTTAATAAAACTAAGTTATTTAATTTATTTTAATTACTAAGTTAATTGTGCAAAGTAAGTTGCTAATTTTAATTTCCCTTATCTGCATTTTTCTATTACTTTATGATTTTTAATATTCTCTTAATAAACATTACTTTTAATATATTAAAAAATTATCTTATTTTTAGTGAAACTTCTCTTATTTTATTAGTTGCTTAAAAAAATAAGTTTCATTTTTTTTTTAATTTTCCTTATGATATCATTTTTTTTTGTTAATTAACAAAGCTATTAATATTTTTCTATTATCTTCCCTTTTTTTTATGATATTTTCTAATTAATAAAATTATTTTTAGTGAAACTCTCTTGTTTTCTCTTTTTATTTTCAAATTTGCATAACCAGTCAAACCGATCAAATCAAATTGGTTCAGTTCAGTACGAATTGGTATTTGAAGCTATCAAGCCGGATAGTTTTTAGGTATCCAAATAATCCAATACATGAATTATGTCTTCTTGATTCGTATCAATTTTTGGGTGCTTAGTACTAAGGATGCAAGCGGATCGGATGTGATTTGAATGTCCAAATTTGATATGATAATATAAATCTTAGATATGATCGAATCCATTAAGGATGTCAGATATCTGAATATAATCCAATCTGATTTAATTTCTAAAAAATAATAAATTAATAAGAGAAAAAATAATAATTTATATAAAGAAAAACAAATAAATAAATAAATATTTTTTAACTATATATATATATATATATATATACATATACATGTCAATAAGGAATAGATGACCAATAGTCCATGATGTTTATTAAAAAAAAAAATTAAAAAAAAAACATGGAATAGAGAAAGAGTTCAAGCTGGAGAGTGAGTCGAAGGGGAAGAATAACCAGTGGAGAAAGAGAGAAGGTGGGTTGGTGCAATATCAGCCGGTGAAAGAGAAAGAAAATAGAAATAGATTTAATTATAACGGTAGAGAGGGAGGGAAGGAAAAAAAAAACCGTTTGCCTGTGGGTTTGGGAATCTAAAAGCAGAGGTTAACGCTAGAATTCTTACTTATAATTTGTATTTATATTTTGTTAAAACATAAGGAAACGATGTAACTAATGTATGGGGTTGTTGTCTTGTATCTCCCTAGCTATATGGGAGGACAGAGAGATGGGCAGAGTG